TCCTCAGGCAAAGGACTGATATGTTGAATATATAAAGAACTACCCCCCCCAATTTAAAGACCTCATCCAAAAATGGCCATCTGAAATGAATAGACACTTCTCAGATGAAATACAGACAGCAAGTAAATATATGGAAAAAATCACTAGTTATTCAAGAGATGAAGATTAAAACAGCAGTGAAATTCCAGCTCCAGAAAAAATGGCTACCGTCAAGAAACCAACCAATAACAAATGCTGGTGAGGCTGTAGGGAAAAAGGAACCCTTCTCCACTGTTGGAGTATAATTGGTACAACCAATATGGACATCAGTATGGTGATTCCTCAAAAAACTAAAACTAGAGGTTTCATTTGACCCAGGTATTCCCCTTCTAGGCATCTTCTCAAGAGTTAAGAACATCAAACTACAGCAATATATGCACACACCCATGTTTATAGGAGCACAATTTTTAATAACTAAATCTTGGAAACAGCCTAGATGCCCATCAATGGATGAATGAAGAAAGTGTGGTTTTTATATACAATGGAGTACTCTGCCGTAAAGAAGGATAAGTTTGAGACATTTTTAGGTAAACAGATGTACCTTGAGACCATACTTTTAAGTGAAATAAATTGGACTCATGTTTACATATCACATTGTTTCTCTTTTGTGAGAAACCATGAGTGTAAATAAGTAGCAAAATAGATGATAGATATTGGGAAATAGAAAATGTTCAAATGGGAAGGGGAACAGGAGAGGGGCAGGGAAGGAAAAGGGAAAAAATAGAACAAAGGGAAAAAATAGAAACAGCTTTTGTAAATGAAAGGGGGAGGAAGGGTTGAAGGGAGGGGAGGGGAATGGGGAAAAAAAGAATCAAGATATATCATGTACAGGTGCAAATTCCCTATGTGAAATGTGATCATTATGTATATCTAAAGTGTACAATAAAATTAATTTAAAAGTTAGAGCATTGCTTTCTGATAGTAATATGCATTCAGGAACTATTGTGAGTCTGTTGTCACAGATGAAAGCTCAATGTGAGATTATTATATAATTTTAAGTGAGTTCTCTTAAGGACATTTTAATTTGAGTTATCATAGAATTAGAGTAATGTCACGTCCTTTAGATATTAAGAAAGAATGTAAGTACCCTGTGAAAGGGTTTATTATGAGAAGAATCTTACCCTAACACTAATTTTAACATGGAACTCTTTTCTACCCTAAAATGTTACTATTGCAGATCTCTATAGAAGATAAAGAATATCCTAAAGGAATATTGTTTTTTGAGGAGTAGAGGTGTCTGTTTGTGGGGATGGATATACCCCTCTGCTCCCGTGTGTGTTTGTGTGTGTGTGTTAGATGTATGAGCAATAGAGAAAATCATTGTGACATACATATTTAACCTGAAGAAAAAGGTGCTTAGATAATGACAACCTAGTATTGAAGCTCAACATTGATGTGTCTTCATAAAGATATAATTGATGTGTTAATGGAGATGGTATAATGATTAGAGGTCACTAATCATGGTCTTTTTTCTCAGACTTCATAGCGTTTACTTAGTTTTTATTTCCCCGAGGCATTAGCATTTAACAGCCTATATTTACCTAGGTCAGTGATGGCAGACCTACAGCATGCTGCCTGCCATAGCAGGCTGTTCGTGTTTGTTGTCACTGAAAGCTTTAAAAGGCTCGCCATTACTGACCTAGATGGATACTAGATACTTTAAGCTTTGGTTTTGTATCACAACATTGTCCTTCTTTTCTGTTGTTCATTCTTTTGTTTACAGAATGGCCTGTATAAACTGCTGAACAAGATAGTCACATTCCCTGCCCTCTGAAGTGTGTAATCAACCATCCATTCTTCCTCCCTTTCCTACTTACTGTCTCTTGTCATGATTTCAGTATGGATGTTAGTCCTTGACTCATTGCTCTTTGATATTCTTCATGCTTTCTCCGAGAACAGTTTCACTCTTTGATATTCTTCATGCTTTCTCTGAGAACAGTTTCATTCTTTTGGCTTAAGTTATAATTTCTAATGCTAACAATTAAACATCTCTCTTTTTACTTATGATCTTTACCCTAAATTTTATTCATTTAGTCACTCAGTAAATTTTTTATTGAGATCTAACATTTTGCCTGGTGCAAAGAATACAGAAATAATAAGATAGTTCCTACTCTCAGAGGTGCTGACAGATGTGCAGAAAGTAATTTAAAATCCAGTGTAAACTTATGTACAACATGCCAAGGAGCGATAAGAAAGGGCTGCTTGAGCTGGACTTGAAGGAGAAACTGGAGGAAAACTGTCTCCACCACAAGACTGAGCATATGTGAAGGTTCCTAGGGTTTTAAATGTAGTAGTTTGAGCAAGCCAGTGTTTCAGTGTGTTTGGAGCTTCAAGGTCTGCATAGGGGAGTGGAAGATGAGGCTGAGAATGTAGGCCAAGGTGCTGAATTGCCCAGAAGACAATGTTTTCAGTACTAAACTGATGTTCTTTTACCATGCAGTCTCACCTTTCTATCATTTGGATAATTATTGTACTTCACACTCTGAAATGTCATCTTCAGGTTTGTCTCAGCAATTGTGATCAGTCCTCAAATTGTGTCATGTTTCAAAACATTCTTCATTCCTCTGTATCTTTTTCTGTTTTGACTATCAACATACTAATCACCAATTTCTGGGCCAGTTCAAAACTGGATTAAATATTTCCTTTTCTTCTTCCTGTCTCTCTTTTGGAAGTTAATATCTAAAATCCTTGTTAACTGTGTTGCTGACTCTGAGCAAGACCGTGATATTTTATTTCTTCCAAGATAAATTCTTGGGGGTGGGGATATTGCTCAGCAGCACAGCACCTGCCTGGCAAATGTGGGGTCCTAAGTTCGATTCCTGCTACCCCCCCCCAAAAAAGATAAATTCTGCGGTCAGTAGTTTAAACTCATAATCCTTTAATAAACACACAAACCTCATATCTTCTTATGCCCATTAAAAACCACAAAATTGGAGAGCTCAGAGATAAATTACAGCAAAGATATTGTTCTGTTTGAGTTTTTATTTTGAGCACAACTTATATTTTACTGAACAAGCTTTTTTAAAGGACAAGGACAAATCCCTCTGCCACAATCCTATCTTTCTTGCTACAGTTCCAACCTGGTACTTGGGCCAGATCACCTGTATCCACGGGAGGAGATATATATATATATATATATACACCTGACAGACTTGAGACAGAACCTAGCATTTGGTTCTATCATTTAGAGTTTCAGCAGTTTTCTTAGTGTCTTTAAATTTAAATAATAACTGCAGCAAAAAATGAGGATACTGATAATATTTACAGGTTAGAGGGTAGGACTGAGTTAATCTGTGTAGCCTGTTGCCTGGCATGTGTGAGCATGCAGTACGTGTTGGCTATAAGATGTTTTGTGCCTTGGAAACTCCTTGCTCATTCCCTCTGCGCTTCTGTGATGCAGTTGTCATGCAGCCCTTGCATCCCGCAACCACGGAGTGCTTGCCTGTGTCCTTCCCTATTGCCTGTGATTTTCCTGCTGTTTCATATTCAATTCTGTTGCCTCTCCTTTATTAGACTTTTATAACTCTTACCAGTTTACATTGACTTCTGAGTCCCTATTGGTCCTCTTAAGCCTTTCTAATAGTCATATTTCTAGTTTTTATTTCTAGTTGCCTTTTGTGGTATTTCTTCTGAAATACTACTACATATAGTAAAAATAGTGGTGGAATTATCACAGTCAATATACAGAAGAGTTTAATTGTTCTCCCCAAAGACACACACACATAATTTTATGTATGTGTGTGTATATATATACGTATATATGTGTGTGTGTGTGTATATATATATACACACACACACACACACACACATATATATATATATATATATATATATATATATAATTTTTTTTAAACTGGCAGTCAAACCCAGGACTTCCTCCATGCCACACAAGCACTCTTCCACTAAGCTACATATTATTGCTACTTCTTTTAAAACAGTTTCTTGAGTGTGCATTCTGTTTTCATACCTACCACTTTGGTTCTTAAATGTAGTATCTGTTTCATACTAGTGTGCTTCCCAATATATAGTTTAGCTTAGTATTGAGTATTCAGTGAGTAGATGCTTAGATGTTTGAATTTTTGTTCTAAGCAAAGCCTAGAGCAAGTTAAATTTGAACATACCAAGAAGCCGCTAGCCAGGTACATTGTGCACCACTGTAGTCCCAGTTACTTGGGAACCTCTGAGGCAGGAGGATTATGAGTTTGTAACTAGTCTGGGCAACATAGTAAAACCTGTTTCCAATACAAATCAGAACAAAACAAACGAAACAAAACAAAACACAACCACAAAGAAGCTGCTATATTAAGTTATTAAACTTTGGTCTTTCAGGGTCTTCTTATTTAGGTGGAAGTTTTCAACTGAAATTATTCCCTTATAACTTCTTAAAGTGGTTTTTGGAGGGTTGCCAGGGCTAATAAAACTCACTTTTTGTCTTTGAAAAGCAAAGGATGAGTTCCTTTCTGTTGTTATTATCATTATACTTAGGGTTTCTAATTTTCTTTTAGCTATTAGTTTAAATTCTAATGTGAAGCAAATTCTGGTAATTAACTACATTTGATGTTGTTCTATTATTAAATTTGTTTATAGACCTTTGCCTTTTTTCTTAAATGTATTTAAGATATTAAGCAGGTCAGTTAAATAAGAATTAGTTGCAGAATATAAAATAGAAAATCTTGTTTTTCCAGAGTTAATTTTCCATGGGTCAATTTTGCTGTCTTTTCTGAGAGTTTCTTTTATTGATTGTCCTTAAAATCAGAGGTCAGTGCAAGTAAGATAATTTATTCTTGGATAAGCAAATGCTGCATGGTTTCCTCAGTTTTTACTTTTGAGTATTATAGAGTATTTAGACTTCTCCAGAAAGGAGAAAATATTTTTAAGCTTTGCATCCCATTCAGTAGACTTTACTTCCTGAAGTGAACTGAATTTAATCATATGTGTCTTTTTTTCCCTTCCCCCAACAGCTTCCATGCCTATGGCTGTTCTAAATTTGGGCCAAATATATCCATTTCAGAGAGGCTTTTTCTGTAAAGACAACAGCATCCAGTATCCGTACCATGACAGTACCGTCACATCCACTATCCTCACCATAGTGGGGCTGGGCTTACCCATTTCCTCTGTAAGTAAATTAATAAGTAGGTAGTGATGGTTTTGTTGTGCTGAAGGTTGGATGAAGTGAGGGAGTTGGGTGGGGGTAAATCCAAGTCCTGTCTTCACCAGTGTTACTATGGTGAATGGTTATTTGAGAAATAATACTGTTTTAATCCATGGATATTTTTCCAGTTGAAGGTAGTCATTACCCAAAACAATTCAGTGTCATCCTGAAGAATTATAGACTGATTATTTTAGAATGGAAGGGTTCATCTAATCATTTGGACAAGCTCCTCTCCCTGTACAAGTGGAAAATGGCTGAGGCAGGAGGATTGTTGTGAGTTTGAGACCAGCTTGGGCTACAAAGTAAGCTCAAGGTCAGCCTGAACTGCATAGCGAGACCCTGTGTCCAAAAGACAAAAAAAAAGTATAGTTGGGAATACAAAATTATTTATTTCTGACAGGTTGTTTTAAACTGAAGAGTACTGACTCTGGATAGTTGCTTTTCTTATGTCATGATCACTCCAAGGTATCATCTTTTAGTAAAAATGTTTAGCCTAAATTAATATAGCCAGTGATTTTTTTTTTGTGACCAATGTATGCAACTCCTAAAGAGACATTTTATTGTTTATGGTGACCTAAACTGCATCATCAAACCAGGAATGTATGTGAGTGCATGTGAAAAAAGCTTAATTTCTTTATGTATTCTATAAGTTAGTGAAAAATACATGAATGGCCCAAGGAAAAGTGGGTTGAGGGTGTAAACAGAAAGTTGTCAGTGGGAGGGAAGAACTTCTCATATATATAAAAAAAGACTTAATGTTCTTAAGAAATAAAGAAGTTATTAAAGCAACACTGAAAAGACAGTTGGCCTGCCATCTTAGCAAAAATAAGAACTTTTCCCAGCTTGTCATGCATGAAAAACAAGTACTCCTATACACAAACCTGGCAGAGGTATGAATTGTTATTCAAAAGAATATATTGTTTGACCTAGAAATTATACTGGGAAGCAGTTTATCCTAGGGAAATAATAATAGTGTCATGCAGAGAATTAGTTATAAGAATATTCATGCAGCATTATTCTTTTAGCAGAAAATAAGAAAGAAATTAATCCAGCTGCAGGGTCTGCTATGATTTACCTTAAGAATGAAGTATTCATCCATTTAATTCACACACACACATATATATATATTTTCATATATATTGGTAGTACTGGGGATTGAACCCAGAGCCTTCACATGGAACTACATCCCCAGCCTTTATTGAGTTTGTTTGTTCATTCATTCTTTCATTTGTTCGTTCATTCATTCATTCATTCATTCATTCATTCATTCATTCAGAAACAGTGTCTCACTATATAGTTCAGGCTGGTCTTGAATGCGTTATGTAGCTCAGGCTGGCTTCAAACTTGAGGCAGTCTTCTTTTCTCAGCCTCCTGAGTGCTGGGATTACAGCCTTGCAACACCACACCTTTATTTTTCATTTTGAGACAAGGTCTTGCTAAGTTACTAAGTTGCCCAATTTGGGTTTAAATTTACAGTCCTTGCCTCAGGTTCCCTGAGTGCTGAGATTACAGGTGTGCATCATGTGCCCAGCTTATTGCATATGATTTTTGATGATATTTAAAGAAATGAAAATATTGTGGAATGTATGAATAGGAGGGTTACTAACAGATGAGTTTTTTTTTTTCTTGCAGTGCTGAGGATTGAACCTAGAGCCTTATACATACTAGGCAAGTGCTCTACCACTAAGCTACATCTCCAGTCCTGAGAGTTTCATTTTATCTCTCTATATATTCTGATTTTTTCCCTCTGAAAATACATTACTTTTCAAACCAGGAAGCTTACTATGAATTTTTAAAAAACACTAGAGATTATCTCATTTTCATTGGATATACCTGAAGTTTGTATTGACTGTACACCCATTTTTCACATAGTTCTCGGTGTTTAACTGTTACATAAGGGTTTAGTTTTGTCTGTCTCCCAAGCAAGTCGCTCAAGAGAAGTCATTCTACATAATTATTCTAAAAAACACAGAAAAGGAAATAACCTCTTAAATAAAAATTTAGAATAGTGTACTTTAAGTTATCCTTTTAAGTTCCCCCTTTTAAGGGAAGCATTGTATTTTTCTAGCATTGATTGTTCCTCAGTTTTTGCTGCCAATATTATTAATGTAATATGTTAAATAGATAATATTCATATTTTTAAATGATAAAATATAAGTTGTAAGAAATGCTTTTCATTTTGGTAGTGTAATCACAAGTTAGCTTTTTAAAAGTCGCTTTTATGTTCTGCTAATGCTTGAGGTGGGTAGAAATGCAAGTGTGTCTGTCACATTGTGGGACTAATAATATTTGATAATTAAGGGAGATTACTATGGGTATATAGATTTTCTGAATTTCTTTGTTTTTGATACGTAGCTTGAAAAAATAATATTTTATTAGGGCGACTATTCCCAAAGCAGATAACTATGGTCTAATTTTTACTAATTCAAAGAACTTACATTTGATAATAAGATATTTCTAGTCATGAGGAACAAGGAATGAATAGGTTAATATATTATTATAAGGTATAAAGTAATATACAAGTAAAATGTTATTTATGGCCGAAAGCAGCTTTGGAATTTTACTCTGTATGGTGGGAGGAGGAGTACATTGATGTTGGTTGAATTTTATGATATGGTGAGTCTTTCTTGCTACCCATTTGCTGTACTGGTCCAGGAGGCTGGGCTCCTCACAGCTGATTACTCACATGTGGGTCCTCGTTTCCCTTATTTGCATGGTGATGTAGGTGCTGTGCTGCTGTTACCCAGGGGGCAACAAGACAGCAGGTTTGATTGTGAGTAGTGACCGCGTGGGTCTGTGCTGTTTCACCATCATAGCCTCAGGGTCAAGCACAGTGCTTATTAGCCTATAAGAGTTGTTTAATAAACTAGAGGTAGAAAATTTTAATGGAAAACTAGGAATTAAAATCACTGTGCATTTTTTTGATACCAGGAATTGAACTCAGGACCCTATGCTTGTGCTGAGCTATATTCCCAGCCCTGTGTATTTTTGATAATAACTGCTATCATGAAGACTGCTATATTTCAGTTTAATGCTGAACTCTACCATATTTCCAAGTCATCTCTTAATAACAGATTATAAAGTTTTGAGGAAAAAATAAATGGAACACAATTGTATTGGATTTTTTTCTTACTGGAGATATTTAAAATATGGGGGAAAAGCCTAGTAAAATTGAAGAAATACATTTTTATGAAGGTTGGCTTCTTGTATTAAAAACATTTTATTTTCTTGTCTACTTATTCTCATATGGAGCAGCATTTTATATCCACACCGCTGTGGAAAATAATTCTTTTGTAAGGTCCTATGAGTAATTGTTCTAGCTCCATTATTTATATAAATTGTCAAAAGATGAAGTAATAACAGATACAACTGTCAGTGATTTGCTCTAATCACAGACATTTTCTTTGTTTAAAACTGCTTTACATGGTCCCTTGGGAATAGATAATATGTAGAATTAAATACTTTTTTGACATAAAAAGTACAGGATGCTTAGATTTGGTGTATTTAAATATTAAGTATTTTACAGAACACTTGAAAGTATTTTGATAAATTTTACTTTATTTTGAATGAACTCACTGGAAGAAACTCAAATTATTGAGTATACACCCTTACTAATGAAAAGTGAAGCTCTATTAGTTTCACATTAGCCAAGCTTACTTGTGGGTTTTTCTCTAAATTCCCCAGTAAAGCCTTTTGTGTTAAATCAGTTTGTAGTTTCAGAACACATCACGGAACCTCTCTACTAAGGCTGAGTGCTAAGTGCAGTTACCTGATGTGCTGAGGTCATCTGCACTAAGTTAGTGGACATCTTTTCACTTATGTACTGCATGTATTTTGACAAATTTGCGGATTTGAATTGGTTATATGTTGCTTTTAGATGGGAAATCTGTTTTTTTAAGAAGCCCTAAAACCTCTATCTAGTAAGTAACCATCATTAATTATGTGTAATAAGACAACTGAAATGAAAATGTTCATTTAACTACCACTAGGATTAAATCTTCTTACCATCTAAACTTGTAATCGAGTTATATTCCACCCCTCCTCATGTTTTTAAGCAAAAATGTCATGATTTTTTTTTGTTGACTATTCAGTTGGCAAAATGGCCAAACATAAATATACTTTTTGACAATCAGATTTAAATGCTTGGTTCTTTTTAAATACATGAAAATATTTAATTTGTCTTTTTTGCATTGATTCCTAACTTTTGTATACAACAGACCAAATTTTTTTCAAATGTTTTATCTGTAAATATACAAAAGTATTAACACAGTGATGTTAGTATTTTTTATGTTGTATACCAGAGTTTGAAGATGGAGAATATCAGTATGACTTTGAGAATATCATCTTTGTTATATGCTGGATAAAAGTGAAATAAAGGCATATGTGTTAATACTTTGCAACTTTCCTTTCTTATACTATTTTGAAAACTCTAGGTGAGGATGTTATGTACAGAACTTTACCATTTTTTAGGTCCTAAGAAATTGGTGAATTTGTGACATTGAACTTTTTTTTGTAATTAAAAACCTGCACCTTGGATGTGGCCCTGAGTTTTTAAGGTACAGCACTCAAAATATGAACCGTTAAGGAGATAACTGATAAGTTGGACTTCATTAGAGTTAAAAATTCTGCTTTATAGAAGATACTGCTAAGAGAATGAAAACAAGCCAGACTGGGAGAAAGTGTTTATAAAACACCTATCTGATAAAGTACTGTTACCTAAAATATATGAAGAACTTTTAAAATGCAACAGTAAGAAAACAACACAGTTAAAATGTGGGCAGAAGATATAACCAGATATTTCTTCAAATAGGATATATAAATGGCAAATAAGAATATGAAAAATGCTCAAGTCATATGGCCTTAAGACTTGCAGAGTAAAACAACAGAGATACTACTACTCACCTATTAGAATAGTGAAAATCCCAAACACTAACGACACCAAATGCTGGTGAGGAGAATCACAT